TTCTACTCCTGTAAGGATTTACACCCTCGGAAACCCTGTACAGGGTCGCTATGGGTCGGAACCGACTCGACGGCACTTAACAACAACAACAACTTGATATTTGGAAAAAAAAAATTAGTAGAGATAGAAAGGTCAGGGATGACATGGAAAAATAGTTGTTCAGCTAATGGGCTCTTGACCAGATATAAATTACAGTAACAAAGGAGACCATTGCTTTTTATTTACTGATACTTTCTGTGATTTATGGGGAGATTGTATTTGTTTTTTGTTTTAGCCTTTCAAGTAAGGAATGATTTGCCAAGTTCATGAAAACAACATGTATCCAGGGACTCATCAAAGGCAAGTCTTCTTTTAGGCCCATCTAAATGTGGATAGAGACCAAGATCGGTCAGACATTTAACTTTTGGAAGATGTAATATTGTGCTTGCTTCAAATGTGTGTGTTGATATAGAAGTTGCTGTTATCATTCTTCCAGAGAAACATGACAGTGAATTTCCCAACTACCAACTATACATTCTGGCTTAGAATTCATCACATTTGAGGAGGCATCCTCAGCCACACACTCCTTCTTTGCATTTGTTTATCGAGTGCCCAATATGCTAGAACTAGAAGCATTTATGTAGGATGATCTCCCTGATCCTTCCTTCCTGTAGCTTGGATGGCTCAAGTGGATTGCAGTCGACTGCTAACGCAAAGGTTAGTGGTTCAAACTCACCCAGAGGCTACACAGAAGAAAGGCAATGCAAGTTTCTTCCACAAAGATTGCAGCCAAGAAAACTGTATGGAATATAACTTTATTTTGTAATATATGGAGTCATCATGAGTCATGGGCAACTCAACAATAGTTAACAGCAACAACAACCAATTAATTAACCTCTCTGAGACCCAGCTCCTCAACTGTGCAATGAGAACATTAATACCTTATTTATTTATTTATTTTAAAGCTTTTATTATTAATTGAGTGAAGTTTACAGGGCAGATCATCAATATTACACTCAACCAGTCATACTTTGATTCATTGCAACTATTATAATCCCCTCCATGAACCATTGGTTAACACAGTATCTGACTTTATTCCTGTTTTTTTTTTTTGTGTGTGTGTGTGTGTTTTGTTTTTTTTGATGCACACAAAACCCACAGAAAATATTTATTCGTCTAAATGACCACAGGGTACATTTTGCAAGCCAGGCTCCTGCCCGCCGGCACCCAGCTTTTCTCATTCCATGGGTCCAGAGTCCTCAGCTGCTCTATGTCTCTGTGACATTGCCTCTGCTTCTGTCTCTCACTGCTTTTCTGGTTAGGATCCCATGCTCCGCTCATGTTTTAATTATACCTTACTGAGAAGATTGCTGTTGTTGTTAGTGCTGTCAAGTCGGTTCTGACTCATAGTCACCCTGTATAGGGCTTCCAAGGCTTTAAATCTTCTTGGGAATAGAAAGCCTCATTTTTTTCCCTACAGAGCAGCTGGTGATCTTAAACCAAGGGCCTTGTGGTTTGCAGTTCCGTGTTTATCGTATGAAGCCACCTGGCTTCCCATTGAGAGGATTAGAGGTAATGTATATAATATGGTGTGCCACTGTAGGATAAGCACTGGACCATAAGGTTGGTTTGAACTGCAAGGTTGGCGGTTCAAATTCACCAACGGCTCCTTGGGAAACCTATACAGGATTGCTATGAATCCGAATTGACTTGACTGCACTTAACAACAACAACAATACATTAAGTTGGCTTTAAAACATTCCCCCTGGGGATCTTTTCCACCTCAGGTCATAATGACAATGTAGGTGAGAATCTCTAGAAAATAAATCTCTGCTGTTCCTACCTCAGTTCTAGCCCCTTTCTTGCTTACTTCAAGCAGACCTCATTGCTTTTGCTGTTGCAGTTCAGTTGGCTCTAACTCATAGTGACCTTGTACATAACAGAAGCAAATATTGCCCAGTCCTGGTCATGTTCATGAACATTGTTATGCCTGAGTCCATGGCTCTGACTATTGTGTCAATCCATGTCATTGAGGGCTTTCCTTGTTTACATGGGCCCTCTACTTCTTTGTTGTTGTTAAGTGCCATCCAGTCAGCTCTGACTCATAGTAACCCTGTATAGGGTTTCTGAGGAGTGGCTGGTGAATTTGAACCACCAACCTTGCATTTCAAACTGACCTTGCAGTTCAATGCATTACCACACCAGGACTCCAAGTTTTACTTTACCAAGCATGATGTCCTTTTGTAGTAATGAATCTTTCCTGATCTTAAGTAAGTAAGTCAGAGTCTTTCTGTCCTCACTTCTAAGGAACATTCTGGTTGTATTTCTTCTAAGACTGATTTGTTCTTTCTTCCAACAGTTCATAATATAGTCAATATTCTTTGCCAATACCACAAATCAAATGAGTCAATTCTTCTTCAGGCTTCCTTTTTCATTGTCCAGCTTTTGCATGCTAATGAGGCAATTTAAAAGACCATGGTTTGGGTCGGACATACCTTAGTCATCAAAGTGAAATCTTTGCTTTTTATTACTTTATCATGAGGTATTTTGCTGTAGATTTGCCAAGGCAACACATTGTCTGCTTTTGTGACTGCAGTTTCCATCATTACTGGTAGGTCTGACCCAGTTTCTTTCCAGCCAAGACCTGTGGAGCCATGGCAGTGGGTATTCCTATTTAGAAACATGCTCTGTGTAGAGCACACATTCCTGGCTTGGGGGCCAAATAAAAGGCAACAGTAGAGATCAATCTCAAGACTGAATTGTAAATGCATGCTAACATGGTTGTGACTTTGTTTCAAGACCAGCAAGAAATGTTAGCAATTGAAAATATTTGTGTGACATAGAAAGGAAAAGAATGATGTTCAGATTTTCCTGAGATAAGTTGTCTTCTTTTCTCCGTGATGCTGGAAAACTACAATGCAATAAAAAGGCGGCATTTCCCCAAGTTTCCTGTTCCTATTCAGGAGAGAAGAAAGCATGGGGGATGTTTTAAAAGCTCGATGACATTTGCTGACATTCTCCCTGCTTGTGTCTTGCAGCCTACTTCTGCTTCCTCCTGACTGCTCTGGGCGTGACAGCTGGTGCCCATCGCTTATGGAGCCACAGGTCCTACCAGGCCAAGCTGCCTCTGAGGATATTTCTGGCTGCTGCCAACTCCATGGCTTTTCAGGTTAGGGATGGCATGTCCGCTCTGCCGTAGGGGCCCAGTACATGTGACACTGTGGGTGGGTAGGAGGGTGGCTACATGAAATGACTCTCATTCTACACTCAGTCTCAGACCCTGAGGACTTCCAGCCCTGTCCCAAGTTTTATCTCCTTGTAGCATTTTTGTTGTTATTACATACCATTGAGTCAGTTCTAACTCATAGAAACCCTTTATAGAGTTTCCTAGGAGAGGCTGGTGGATTTGAATCACCGACCTTGTAGTTAGCAGTGTAGTGCTTATCTTACAGTGCCATACCATATCCCAGCCTTGTCCCAAGTCTTATCTCTTTGGATCATTGTTGTTGTTAAGTGCCATCTATTTGGTTATGACTTTAGCAACTCTGTATAGGGTTGCTGAGGCTGTAAAACTTTACAGGAGCAGAAAGTCTCATCTTTCTCCTGCCCTTGTAGCATTTGATACAGCAAAATGTTAATTGGGGGGGTTTTGTCCTGAGGTGTGCTGAACCGTAGAGGGAAAAGGAGATTCCACCATTCAGAGAGTTCATGCCCTAAATATGCCCTGAAACCCTCAACATTTGTTCAGGGCTGACCCAGGACTAGAGCCTTGATGTGATTCTGTAGGATTAGCACTGGACTGGTAGGTAGATTAAACCTACCAGCCTCTCTTGGAAACCTTATACAGGGTCATTATGGCTTGGAACCAAATCAGTAGCACTTAACAACAACAACAACAACCACTAGAGGCCACAAGGAGCTCTGGTGGTACTGTAGGACAAACTAACTGCAAGTTGTAAGTTCAGACCCATCAGCCTTTCTTTAGGAGAAAGATGAAGCTGTCTGCTCCCATACACATGTAGTCTCGGAAATCCTATGTAGGGTTGCTCTGAGTTGGAAGCAACTTATTGAAGTGGGTTTAACCAGGACCAAGTTTCATGCAGCACACAAGACCATGTGCACATTGCATTTGATTCGCACAATAATCGCTTGAGCGAGGTGTTTCCTCACTTTACAAATGAGAAAAATGAGACCTAATATGCTAAAGAACGTGCCTAATCAAGTAGCTTAAAAAAAATGGCAAATCCAGGATAGGCAAATGTAGAGCTACCTGACTTCAAGTTAAAGCTCCTACAAAACATATTCCTGAGTTGCACTATGAGGTAGTGAAGGAAATTCCATTCAATCTGGAATCAGAAGATCGAGAGACTGAGTCTTTGTTGATGACTGCTAGCTGTGAGACCGTGGATGAGTCATATACCTGCAGTGACTGCATCTGTAAATATAAGAATAATACTTCTTTCTTAGGGTTGCTATTGGACTCCTGGTGTGGTACTATAGAATCAGCACTGGAATGTGAACCACACGGTCGGTAGTTCAAACCCACTAGCTGCTCCTTGGAAACCCTATACAGGATCAGTATAATTCAAGGGTTGTTACATTATGACAATTGTGTTGTTGTTGGTTGCTATTGAATTGGTTCCAACTCATAGCAACCCCATGTGAGAGAGTAGAACTGCCCCATAGGGTTTTCCAGGCTGTAATCTTTACTGAAGCTAGGTCTTTCTCCCATAGAGCTGCTAGTTGGTTTGAACTACTAACCTTTCAGTTAGCAACCAAGAGCTTAACCGTTGTACCATTAGGGCTCTTTCATTGAAAATTGCAAAGAGTTATATAAATGTAAGAGAGTATCATTGTTACACTACGATTGGGCCATATCCTTTCAGACTATTCCATCTCTAAGCCATTCCCCGCCATCTTGGGACACTTTTTGAGCTGCTGGCATTTTGGGTTGATCAGGGATTTCCATTTTCCTGGCTCTTCATCTGATCCAGGCTGGGTGAGTGGGAATAACTTGCCTCCAAAATTTCTGCCCCTATGTGAGTCCTGGTGTGGTGCTGGGGGTTAATGCACCAGACTGCAAAGCCGTTTGAACTGCAAGGTTGGCGGTTCAAGCTCACCAGTTGCTCCTTGGAAACTCTATACAGGGTCACTATGGGTCGGAACCGACTCTACGGCACTTCACAACAACAACATATGAGTACAAGTCATCCTGGACCCCTGTGTATTTCCACCCAATGGGAAACAATGATGATTATCACAAAGGCCTTGAAGTCCAGGGAAGAAGGCCATCCAATCAGACCTCAGCATTGGGACTCTATCTCAACAAGATGACCTTTTCCTGAGTGCTTTGCTAAGTGCTCTAAGAATTCATTTTCTATATTAGGCTTCCCACCTACAGTTTGAGCTTTTATAATACAAAGAGGTTAAGGCACAGTAGATCATTGAGGAAGTACAAGTCATGTTATGGTCATATACTGGTTATAATCCAATCACAGTTGGGAACTAGTGCCTAGAGGAGGAGTTGGCAGCATTGTGGCTACATGTTCATTTGCTCACCATTGGCAGCGTGGACTGTACAGCATTTTATTTTGACTTTATCTTATTTCAGTGCTGTTCTTGGTTTTTTATAACAAGGAGTTTTGATCATGATAATTTGGAAACTCATTGGTTTAGACCTTAGATGCTATTCAGGATTAGCTTGGTAATTTTTGTTTATTTTATTCAAGCAATTTGTTATTTTTTAGCTTCTAATAACATACTTTATACAGTTATGAAACACCATTTTTATTGGAATGGTTTTCCCCAAGAAAAATAACTTGCCACTGAGAACCTGAAACTCTGGTTTTTCACTTCCCAGTGAAACTATTTGTTTATAACTCAATTTTTGGAAACTTGAGTTTGCTTAACAACATTATCTCAGAAAAGACTATCAGACTGTAATTTTAAATTTGTTCCTGGGGACAAAGTACATTGTAGAAGAAAGTACCCAAGTCCCAAAACAAACTTTAGGCTCTGCCATTTGCAGGTGTAGGTGATTAGACCTGTTTCAGTTTCTTTAACCCTAAAGGAGTGATAATATTTACCTCAGAGCATCGTTGAGAGGGTTAAATCAGGATTTAACAGCGTATAGCTGTTGTTGTTAAGTGACAATGCGTCAGTTCTGACTCATAGCAACCCTGTATCAGGTTTCTGAGGCTGTAAATCTTTGTGGGAGCAGAAAGCCTCATCTTTCTCCCCTGCAACTTATAGTTGCTGTTGTTAAGTACCATGGAGTCAGTTCCAACTCATAGTGACCCTGCACAGTGTTTCCGAGGCTGCAAATCTTTACGGGAGC